TCTTTATTTTACTAATAAAATATATCTTAAATATAATTTTTTTTATAAATCAGCAGAATCAGTCAATCCAACCACTTCAGTTCAAACTTCATAAATTTTAGCAGAATCAGTTCATCTAGTCGATTTTAGTGCTATCAAACATGCTCTAAGTTAGAATACAAAATTTCGAACATATTTAGGTTAGAATGTTTTGTTAACAAATAGTTAGGCTAAGATTTTAAAAATTATTGAGTGTATGAACATGTTAAATTTTGAAAATTACATATTTGTTCTCGGATGATAAAATGTGCATGCTTCCGCTTTGCAATAGCTTTATGGTTAAAACACATATCTCTATCTAATTACATGTTTTTTTTCTGTTATTTACTATTTCAAATGAATCTTATCCTATTATTATGGTTATTGTAGTCGTCTTGATTGCTTTATTCCTTCCATACAATCCAAGATACATATATTTTCATCGTTAACTTTGATTATCAATTTCTAACAAATTATGTATACAAATAGTTTAATCAAATTACTCATGCATTCACTCATCTTAACCCGATGAAATAATATACCTACAATTTTATTGGGCATTTAAACGAACGCGCATCACACGTTGCTAAACTAGTATAGTATAATAACTAAAACTTAATGCACGAACATTCTATTTAATTCTTCGCGCGTGCTAATTATCAAACATGTTTCTTTACATTATTATACTTCTACGTAATTATGAAGTTGATATTTTGTCCAATATGTACTTCATTATGGGACATTATGAAAATTAATTTTCTACAGCATATAGTTTCATCAAGTAATTAATCCATCGTAACTCTGTGCAGTATACTTTTGAATTAAAGTAAATTGTTTCAGAATCTTAATTAACAATTGAGAAACTTCTATTAAAAATTATGAGTCCTGATTTTATTTCCTAATACATCATATATGAGATAGAATAATTGAAATTATACAGATAATGTACATACATACTGCATATACATGCAAACATGTGCATCTATATGTGTGTGAAAAATGTTATGGAGTACCACATTTCAAATGATACACTAGCTTTATGATTCCGAAAAGTCGATCCTCTCGGTTAGTCTTCCCCTCTCTATGTGTGCGTGAGAAATGACTATGCTTAATTAAGAAAAACTATATACAATATACAATTCTCTACTGTAATATCATGTGCCTTTGACTAAATGAAAAACTAGAAATGAACCATGGAACTATATATTATGATTTTCAGCCTACTTTTATGTCATTCAAGTGTATATAAGGGGAAAATATAAACCTAATTATAGACTAGGATATTAGAAAATGGAGCCCTTTTAGTTTATCATGTTACATGCCATTGAATATAATTGACTTCCCATCCAGATCAGTAAATAATTTGTTGGATTATATGTTTGAAAACCAACAAAAACAAAAATAATGTGGGAAAGTGATTTGATGTTCGTAGGAATTAGAAAAATGTGATAATAATGGCAGGCTTACCAGTGTGGTAGCCTGAGTGTCATATACCGTAGTATATAATAAATAAGTGTTCAGAATACATTAGGAAACCTAATACAATAGGAATCCTACTACAAATAAACCACAATAAATAAGGGAAGACCTATTAGAATATAATTACATTATTACACCCCCTCAATCTGTGCAGGGAAACAACGCGCAGATTGTTCCTGAGAAAAACGAAGCGCTGCGGAGAAACATTTGGTGAAGATATCAGCAAGTTGAAACTGCGTAGGAACATAACGAACAACCAGATCTCCCTGCGACACACGTTCTCGAACAAAATGATAGTCTATATTGACGTGTTTGCTGCGAGCATGCTGAATAGGATTAGTAGATAAATATGATGCTGAAACATTGTCACAGAACAATTTAACTGGCTCGCGAACAGGAACTCCGAGTTCAAACAGTATAGACCGGATATGAAGCGTGTCTTGAACAGTGTAAGCAATAGCCCGATATTCAACTTCAATGGAAGATCTAGAAACAGTGGGTTGCTTCTTTGATTTCCAAGAAACTAAATTAGGGCCGAGAAAGATAGCAAACCCAGATGTGGGGCGACCACTATCAGGACATCTAGCCCAATCAGCAACGAAATAAGCCTGCAAAGTGGAAGATGTGGAGTTCGGCCGAAGGAGGAGACCATGTTATGGAGTTCCCTGAAGATACCTGAAAATACGCTTAACAAACAGAATATGTGAAGTACGGGGAGCATGCATAAACTGGGAAACCAGATGAACAACAAATGTAATATCTTGTCGAGTCATGGTTAAATACTGTAAGGCAGCTACCATACTGTGGTACTCAGAGGGATCAGCAAGAAGATCTCCATCAGTGAGAGATATATTAGTTCATGTAGGAAGAGGAGTGAGGGAGTATATGGCCCGGGAACCCCCGACCCATAGACTCCTACTACTCCAGTAAAGGCCCAACAGGCCCAGAAGGCCCAACAGGCCCAAATCACAGCGGTGGAGCCAGGATTTAGTCATAGCGGGGGCCAAAAAGGAACACAAAGAACAAAGAAAAAATTCTCTAAATAGGATTAAAACAAAAATAAATTTCATAAATAGGATAATCATTGTTTTATTATCAAAATTGGACTTATTCACTCATATGTTGGCAAACTCTAATCATATTATTTTTAATAGAACTAAATAAGATCTATTTGAGAAGTAAAACATATTTTGTCATATTTTTAATCATACATATGTAATTATTTCATGTGGAATGATCCTGTCAGAATTACCTGACAGGATCCACTGTCCGGATGCATACGTTTGTGGTGCTTCCGGATGAATTTTTTTGATGAAATTTTGTGACAATGTTCTTCATGGTATGTAGATTATTCACATCAAATTTCGGTTTAAAACTCAATCGGCAAAGCGATTAAATAAATTATTGAGAAACACTGCGCCAAAAAATAAATAAAAAACGCAATATTTTTTCATAATTTATTTAATGGACTTCCCGATTGAAATATAAGATGAAATTCGGTGGATGTAATCTACACTTTAAGAAATACATGTTCACAAAAGTTCATCAAAAAATTTTACCCGAAAAGATCTCAAATGCAAGTTTCTATCCAGTATTTTTGACCCATTTTTTCTTATTTGATATGTAATACTAATACTACTAAAAAATAAAAAGCTTGGGAGGTGCCATGGCCCCCCTATCCATACAGAGACCCTTCTTTTCTAACTTAATCCACGATGTTAGTGCAAGTGTGCAACGGTGCTCTTAGATTTTGGGTAAACCCACTGCCGTCTGCCTTATTCTGATAGCTTTTTTGATAATTTCATTTAAAAATGTTGATTTGTTAAATTTATTTGCTGAATTTAAATGAAATGTTAATTGTTGAATCGTGGAATACTTTTATTTGTTGAGTTCAAATAAACTTTTGAATTGTCTGGCACTTATATTATGACAATCTCAATAAAAATGTAAATAATATTGTAAATGTGTAATTGTGGATTTATTGATTTAGTTAACATTGTTTATTCGTTACAATGTAATTTTTACAATTATACTCGTATTATTTCAATTTTAGTCTGTCTAGTTGTTTGATAAACAATCGTCATGTTACGATATTATACATCAAAACCTAAAGGTCCGAGCATTGGCGTTCTTCATCGAATATTGTAGTTTCTTTGTCAAATAATTACATTGTTGAGTTGCGTAAACGTACTGATTCTAATCAAAATTAAGATATTCTTTAAGAAGTTGTTTTATTTAAATTTTATAATTTTGTTTATTGCTATATTCGTGATGTATATGATTTCTTTGTTAATGTGCCCCTGCAAGCTAGGTAGTTAACTCACTACTCGATAGTAACTCGGTCAAGGACCAAGTAGCAAGTAGGACCGATTACTCAGGATTACTCAGTAATTACTCAGCCTTGTATTAATTAAATTTAATAACATAAGTGCCAGAGATTATAGAAATATAATAGTCTTAAAATTATCTTAAAATCCATAGAAATGAATAAAATGATAGAAATGCTAATGATGGAGTAGCAAAAGTCATAAACATCATCTGATTTTATCTTAAGTGTAATATTGGCATATTCAGTCCCATTAGAAGCCTGTGTGTATCAATCAATGATGTACCATACTAAACAATCAATAACGTGATATTAATTAAAAGTTACGTAACACTCCGTATAATATATATAGCTTAGTTTAAAAAAGTGCGTCTGAGGTGCGCACGCAAGGCGCACCTAGCCCCCATACCTCGCCTTTTGCCGCTTTTTGTGCATCTGAGAGGCGTTCGCCTCTGGCGCATCTGAGAAGATGCCTGCTCATCTTTGTTTTTTTGGCGATTCACATACCTAGTTCGAGCTTGACGATTCACGTATCTAGTTCCAAAGGTACGTAGGTATTATATATTGATGGGATGAGGTTCCCTGACTCCAACAGAGTCAAGTTTTCTCTAATATTCTGCCTCTGCTATGCTTCCACTATCTCCTATCCTCTTTCTTCCGCTCCTATCTAACGTCGCAGGTAAGTTTTTTTTGTTTCCTTTTATTCTTTCTTCTCCTTTTATCTTAATTTCTTAAATCATCAAATAGTTTAAATTATTTATAAGTAAATATATGACCATATATCAATCTGCCCTAAACCCTAATCCCAATCGCATAGTTTATAAATTATAAATAATAATAAAGATGGTTTGTACTTTCAAATTGTTTAAATTTTTTACTTTAGCAGTATAAAACTACATTTTGGAGTTTACGATTCAATTTTATGATTAGCTTTAGGTGTTTAATGTGTTCGATGCTGCTGTCTTAATCAACATTTTGTTTCTCTTAAGATGTTCATTATATTGTTTAATGGTTTAATGTATTTTGGTGATGTTATCATTTTTTGAGAAGAGAGCTTTATGTACAATTAGTATAAATATGTTTTACCAACATTATATAGTTAAGTTCCGTGAGGCGTGCGCCTCACCGCCTAGCGCCTCGGGTAAATCAATGAAATTGCCTCAAGCAGCCTCGTTCCTTTTAAACTAAGATATATAGTCATACTAGTGAAAAAAATTTATTTATATCAAAATATATGGTGTGTTGATACTTTAAAAGAAAAATCAAATGGAGGATGGAAGGGTGGAAGAAGAAGAAACGAAAGAGGGGAGAAGGGAAGATACGAGAAAGAAGATGACAACTTATTGAGAAATTGTACTCATAGCTTTAAGAGGATAGTAGATATCATAAATTCCGTTTAACCTAGTTTTTGTAACCTAAGTTTTCAGTTTTTTAAGGGGGATTGAGTTAGATCGACTTATCGAGTTGAGAAACTCCTCAATTGGACTTGGGATACACATTTTTTACACATGTCTGTGTAAGGTTTTTTTTATGTCTGTGTATAGACATAAAAAAAACCTTACACAGACATGTGTAAAAAGTGTGTACACAAGAAATGTCTATCTTAACAATTTTGTCAAATACTTAGTCAAGCAAGTACTACGTAACTCGGAAATAAAACCAGGTAGCTACAGTACTCTATTTGCGAGCACTCCCCCAGTGCTCACCTAATAGATAACCCAGAAGTCAGGAGTCCTGTTCCTTCACTGGCAATGGTCGAAGGGGAAGAAGATTACATGGGAGACCTTTCCCAGTTTCTACCTCCGGAAGCTTCTCCATCTTCCGAAAAGGTCTGCGCTTCCTAAACAGCTCTGTTTCACAGATTATATTTATATATGCGTTACACACATATTTATGCTTTTATGTTGTTGCTTTGTGCAATTTGAAACTACTCATATGTCCTACGTGGTGGAAATTATTCAACCTAAATTTGAGTTCTTTATTACACTAAGTTTATTTGTTCAATAGAATCAATTACCTAAAACCTAGAACGAAAGTGAGAGAATGAAAGCTTATGTGATTTCTTAAATTTGCTAGTCATAATGCAGATTTTTACAGCATAGGCTGGAGGTTATGATTTTCGAATTACATACACTAAAAAACAGGTTTGCTTTCAGAAATAAGTATGCTAATCACTCTAGATTTACTTCCAGACTTAGAGTCATATCCAATCAATCCTTGTGAAAGTCGAGGTTGTATCATTATATGAGCTAGGAAACCCACCTTTCTTTAATTTAGAAAAATCAGATATAATCGTAGTATCCCTCTCCACTCTCCAGGTTTCTAGCAATAAACTCTCCGTAGTCTCAAAATCTGTAAACAAGCGCAAACCCCTAAGCTGGCAAGAACAGAGAATACTTAAACGACAACAAAAGCAAATTGAAGAGGATCAACAAACACTGGCCAACTTAGAATCAGCAATTCCTGAATCAAACATTGGGTTTAAAATGTTGAAACAAATGGGATACATTCCTGGGTCCAGTTTAGGGAAGGATGGTTCAGGAAGGGTTGAACCAGTGGGATTGGAAATTCGAAGAGGCCGTGCTGGGCTTGGGAAGGAAGACTCGAGATTAGAGAAGGCAAGGATAGAAAAAGAGAAATCTGAAATTGGGCAAAAGAAGGAGGAAGAACTTATGGTAGACTTTGAGCATCGCCAAAAAGAGAGGTGGAAAGGGCGGAGGGTTGTTGTCAACTTTCACAAGGCTGAGGCTGTATTAGCCCAGTTGGAGAATAGGGAGGTCGTTGAAGAGGCTAAGGAAAAAGAAGAAGGAGAAGAGGAAGAGGAAGAAGAAGAAATCATCACGGAAGAGGTACTTTTTTGTATAAATGTTTACTCAGCTCTCTGATATTTTTATATGGAATCATAAAAAAGCTCCAATTCTTCTTTCCTGTAACTATGGTCCTCGCTCTTATGAATTAAACAAATAATGTTTTCTGCTAACACTAAAAACTTAACACAACAAAAAAAAAAGAGGAGAAGATGATGTTATGTTTTGAGTTGCTCCAATCCAGTTAACCATGACATGATCATTTTGGTATGAATATGTAGCGAAATAAAGGTGTCCTTCCTTCTTTTGATTTTTCTAAGTTGAGAAGTAGGAAAACTAATCTTCATGTTTCTTTTTCATCTGAATTTGCAAACCACTTTCTTTTCAAAAATAAAAACTGTTTTTCAAATTTACCGTGGTCACCTCCAATTACTGACTGCAACTACAACTGTTGCTGATGCTGTCACTCTTGTCCACCACTCAGAAAGGGAGCTATTGCTTTCCATTGTTAGCAACCCCGATAGCTGCCTATAACCTCTGACCACCAAAATGAATTTGGGTATCGAGTTAGGGAAGCAGGGTAGGAGCTCGTAAACATGTTCTCTAATCTGGAAACGGAAATCATAGCATCAAATATGTATATGCAAAGAGAATTTTGTTGATTTAGTCCCGTAACTTATGCACATGTCATTATCTATCCCTTAACTTTATTCACTTGCAGCTTATGTCCAGGAATTACCAAGTTTGCTAACGTTAATGACTTTTCCATTGGAATCGTCATAATCCACCTTAAAAGTCCATGTCAGCATCACACGTGTATGAATAATGGTGACATGTGGTGCTGACATAGAGTTTTGCCGGGTTTTGACTTTCGATAGAGAAATCCTTAAAATATGCCAAACTTATCAGTTAATAGTTACAACTTACAAGATTTGCTAAAGATGTCGATGAAATTGAGAAAATGGTTAATTTTATCCCTTAACTTTTCATGCAGGGTTTACTAATGATGTCGATGAATTTGAGAAAATGGTTAATGTTATCCCTTAACTTTTCATGCAGGATTTGCTAACAATGTTGATGAAATTGAGAGATGAATATTATTACTGCCTGTTCTGTGGATGTCAGGTAAGTATTATGGTGGTAGATTTAGAGTGAATCAAGGATTACTTGCAAGAGAGTTATTGCAAAAGTTTGGGTTCAAATATTTAATTGTCAATATCCAAGTGTGTCTCTTCTTTTCTTGTCAGATTATCTTATTTTACACTGATTTTGTTATTTTGCAAGTATGATTCTTTGGAGGCACTTGCGGGTGACTGCCCTGGCGTATCGGAAGAAGACCACTAGACAATTCGACTTATCGGAGGGATTGATGCATTTCAGGGACAGTTGAGATTTATACTTTAAGCTTTTTACCAAATCTGATGATGGCTATTCGATAGTGAAAATGATTGTGAAAATGGTTAGGGTCTCAAACCTCATCAAAAGATCCTTCAAATGAAGGTTTCTTTGTGCCATGAATCCAGATGATCATATCTGATTTATCCAGGTATGGTTTGCGTATTTGCATTCTTGATCTGGGAATTTAACTGTGGCCCTCAATTACTTTTGTGAATGGAACTGCTAAATCTTTATTTGTATGCTCAAATTTGTACTTTTCAAATACCTATACACACAATGGCCCTCCGGTGGCCACATTCCGGCTTATCAGTGTTATCAGCCTATTGTGCATTATCGAACTCTTGACTTATTTGACTGTTGGTTCATAATGAAATAGATTAGGGCTGGAGATACTTTTTGGCTAAATTTGCCGAATATAAACATTTTATCCTTTTTATCATATAGTGTTTCTTTATTATATGAGTTCAGTATAATTTAAATACTAGTATATGTTTTTCACAATTGTTCAATTTTTCAGTAACTTCATCAATAACAACCATAATTTTAGCACTTTCAGCAACTTCAACCTTTTCAACCAAATAGGCTCATTTGCATACCATACAACAGTATCCAAGCCTTAGTCCCAAAAGAGTGTGTGAACGGCTAACTTGAATCGAAATATGAAACCATGAATGCAAAGTTAAAAAGCATATTTCGATTCATGTCATGCGATGTGACTAAGTTATCCCGTCATCCATCACGCGCCTATTATAGCACCACCCTTTAATCTGTCTTCGGAAGACATGATACCAAAAAGTGGTCTCATGGAGGAATTCTCATTTGCTGCCCTGATCAGGGTAAATAGTGATTTTGTGTATACTGCTGCTAATCTTTGAAGTTGAAAACACGTTGGAGTTTGTATTTAAAAAAACATGCATTTAACAGTTTATATTTGAATGATCATCTCATGCTTAGGCCCATCTTGGGGGAGTTATGGGAACATGGCTTCAAAACTATTGGAGCCCATTTTTCAAATATTAGATCTATTACTATGCAACTATATGCATTACCTCTTTAGTCATTTGAATTTTTAGAGAAAATTGTCAAATAAGCGCTCATACTATTGGGAAAAAGTCAATTCAACCCTTTTACTATCAAAACACTCAATCGACACCCCGGGCTATAAAAAAACACCCAATTGCTCTTTTTAACCGGTCTGTTACCGGTTACCCCATTAGTAATCCTGATGTGGCCGGCCACGTCGCCTTTTTTCTTATTTGAGAAGGCTGGCAATCGTTGCTCACTTGGACGGAGAAGAAAATAGCGGAGCAGCCGGAGCTTCAGGATTTTGAAAGCTGATTAGTCACTGTTTATCTTCCTTGCATAGAGTGGCCATTGTTTTGGATCTAAATGTTTATTGCTTCTTCCTTAATTCATAAGGTATTGCAAATACTTGTAGAAGTTTTTTAGTGAGAAGATCCCCAAGGTCTGCTAGAAATTTCAAGGAAATCCAAGACTATAGATAATTGTGATGATTTAGATCAGCTTCTTGGTACTCCTAACTCCATATTTGAACACTCTATGTGCCTATACATTACATTCTTTGGATTTTGGGGATTTTGTTCTTCACGTTTGGGAGTTCCATGGAAAAGAGAAGTAGAGCTCTATTCTATGGAGAAACTATGGAGAAGGGAAAAATGGCCTTGACACATCTTGGTAGATCGTGAAGACCAAGAAGATGCCGGCAGCAGCATCAAGAAAACACCGTACCTAAGGTGGGTTCATTTTCCTTAAACTCATATCAAAATTAATCTGCCACACCCCTCAATTACCTGTACACAAAAATAGAGAACATCGAACCTGCACTAAGGTGTTTGACGAAATTCCTCACCCAGTGTCGTTGCAGAGAAAGAAGAGTGATGCAGAAAGCGGTGTCTGCGAAGAAGATATGCCATCTTGTGTCCTATGTGTCACAAAAAATACAAAAACAAATGGCCACATGGCTGGCCACGTCAACCTGCTACAGAATAGCCGGTAGGTGAGTGGCTAAAAGAGCAATTGGGTGTTTTTTCATAGTTCGGGGTGTCGATCGAGTGTTTTGATAGTACGAGGGTTGAATTGACTTTTTCGCTAGAGTACGAGGGCTTATTTGACAGTTTTCTTGAATATTTATTTGTTCCATCTTTAATTTATTAAGAATTTCTCTTAGCTATAGGGCCTGCAAAATATAATATAGCAACAGGGATAAAAAATGTCAAGGGCAGCTTTCCCTGCTCATTCCATTGAAAGGTACAAGAAATGTAAAAAAGAAACATTGTTTACGCAACTTGTGTTTACTGGCTTAACTGCCAGAGAAATAAGACAGCAACTGAACTCTTCTTAGCTTATGGAAAAAAGAGCACAAAATAACACCCACAGAAGTACATCTATTGAAGATTTCTAAACACATCACACAGAAAGAGGCAACAATCAGAGAGTCCAGTGTACATCCTGAACTGAAGAGTCATAACCAGAGTACTCCAATCCCATGAATGATCTTCCAGTGTCTTGATCCATCTCAAGCTGGTCACTGTCAGTAAGGATATTACCAGATGAGTCATGAGTGGATTGTGGGAGCATTAAGGTGAAGAGGGATGAACTGAAATTAGCCTGGTCTCCCTTAAACCCCCACGGACTTGAAAATCCATTGATATTATCAGCATTGTCACTAGGTGGATGAACTTCATCATGTACCCCATTGGAGTAAAATAAGCTGTTAAGCCCGAGCCCAGAGGGTTGGTTTGACAGAAGAGAGAGAGCGGGAGTTGAGTCAGAAGCCCCGCTGAAACCTTCTCTACTATGCCACATTGATTGAAGAAACTGTTCAGATGCAATGGTTTCACCGTCCCATGTTTGGTCACATGCTCTTGAACTTGGTGGATGTGAGTATTGGGTGAAGTCCATGAGAAAGCTTTCTCTTTGGCCATTGTTTCCTGTCATCGGAGGCATTATAAAGATCCAAGGATTTGTTTGGCTTGTGGAAAATGCTTGGGAAAGGGGGAATTGCCAAGGAAATTTACGGGAAAATGACAAGGAAAATTATTTCCATTGTTTTACCTTGCAAAATGTGAAGGAAAATGAAATATGAGTATTTTCATCTAAACTAATTGCATTTAGATTTTTTAGTCTTTGTGTAATGCATAAATACATAAAATGAGCATCAACAAAAATCTAAAATAAACTACATTTTCTTGGCATTTTGTTTCCTTCGAATTTCTTATATGTTTTTCTAGTTATAATATTTTCCTATACTTTCCGATTACCAAAGGACCCTAAATGCATAAGTTTGAGTTGAAATCTACGGACTATGCACAAGGGAATCATATTTTTGTCAACTAACCAAATAGCCAAGAAAGATTGCCATAATGTTGGGAAAATAGTGATCCAAACGGGGGTTTCCGACGGCGCTCGTTGTGACCAGCCAGTCGCCTTCGGCAGCTTCTCTTTGTTTGATCGAACTCAGCTAATTGATGGAATCTGGTATTTCACAAACTGTTTGGTCATAATAGATTAATAGTAATGATTATAATGCAGTTGTTTTATTGTTTTATGTTAAAGTGGAAAATGATAAAAGTAGATGACATATGCATGTCGAAGTCAAAAGCTCATGAGTGTTTGACAAAACTACATCTTTATTTTTATCGGACAACCATAGACCAACTCAAGTCTCAAGAAGCTAGTTAATACGAAGTATGATCAAATAACCAAGACGTGTTTGGACGTGCTTTTTGGATAGAGCCAAAAGCATTAACATTTTTTAAAGAAGCTCTTAATTAATTGGTTATGCTTCTTCCAAAAAAATGTTTTATATGAAACTAACTTGTGAGTTGTGACCAGCTAGTTGCCTTCGGCAGCTTCTCTGTATTTGATCAAATTCAGCTAATTGATGGAACCTAGTAATTCACAGTTACCAGGTTCAATAATTTAGCTGAATTTGATCAAATAAAGAGAAGTTGTCGAAGGCGACATGCTGATCACAATGAGCGTCGTCGAAAGCCCCCGTTTGAATCACTATTTCCCCCACATTACGACAATCTTTCTTCACTATTTTATTTCGATATCATGTATCGATTCATGCTAGCTAACTCCAAAATCTTTTGGAAATAAGGTTTGAATTTTCTTGTTGTATGAAACAATTAACGTAATAATGCCAGGTGACAACTGTGTAGTTGTATCCTCAAGTGTTATACGGAGTACTAATGTTTTGCGGCATTGCTGCTTAGTAAAACTGTAAAACCTTATTTGTGTGTGTAAGGAACTTCTTAAATCCCGTTTAGGGAAAACAGCATTCCAAATGAGCCCTAGTAACGAGTGTGCTAACCTGCTACATTGTTGGCAAAATCTCTGTTCAAGCCCAGCAACAATGACCATGGGAGACTTGGAGTGAGTGCCACACACCTTATGCTTTGAGTAATAGGACTTAGCTTCACTCAGATCAGCCTGGCAGCCTTCCACCTGGCACCTTGGTGGTTGGGTGCCATGCGCCAGCCCACCCCTCCCTCTCTTAGGCGGGCGCGGTGTCCGACCACTCTCGGCCCCTGCCAGTATTGACCCACTTCCGACATCCCCAAAGTATATTTTCTTGCCAAACCTCAAGCCACCGGATGATGAATCCGTTGGGGTTGAAGAAGAAGCATAACCCACTTCCATTTTTTCCTCACTGCAAGGTCTCCTAATGCCTTGTTTTTTTTTGTGTCAAATCACTGGAATGAAGAGGACAGTGATGATGGTAATGGTAAATGCATATGAGGAGTACGTATATATATATTGGAGGTGAAGATTGGAGGAAGGAAAAAGATAGCTTAGAGGTGTCATTAGTGGGGGCCAATTTTACTAACAATTTAATACTTTGGAAATTTCTTTTTGCCTGTATCCTGGATGCATGGTACACATCGGGTCGGGACTTGATATACCCGGCTAGAGATTATAGTGAGGTCAGGGTAAGATGTGACTGCAGAATTTGACTCATACCATATTTGAAGACTTAAACGCAAATGATTGGCGCTATTTGAACACTTAAACACAAATGATTGGCGCTTTTTAGTAGAAAAATATTTAGGGAGCCATATATGACTTTTTTGAGCTCATATATGCTATATTAGCATTATCACTATTCACTACCATTTATTTCTAACGAGGGTCCCCGTTAAAAGCAGAATGATTGTGATAAAACTGATAATGCGAACCCAACTTATTATACTACGGAGTATTATATATCTCCATAAAGGAGTCACATACAATTCCTTAAAATAATTCAATTGATGAGAGACTTCATTAGAAAATGAGAATTTTATATATTTAAT